ACCATTCTTCCATATGAACTACACACTACTTGAAGTTCCCGGAATATCCTAAGCTCTTTTCTACTGCACATCTTTACATATGCTCCTCCTCCTGTCTGGAATGCCTTGTTACCTTATCTTTTTTGAATTTGTCCTTAAACTCTTATTATTAAAGTTCAAGTAACAGTTCAGGAGAAGCTGCCACTTCTCTCTCAGTGAGGTCATTTGACTTTTCCTCATTTGTTCACTCATGGCAGAGTTGAAGCGTCCCTCATCTGTCCAAAGCACTTTATATAGACCTCTAATTGCACTAATAATTCTCAACTGTAGTAGTTTTTTTTTTGCTTATTTGCTCCCCCAGTTGGCAGAAGACTCTGCAGGAGAAACCAGTTTATCTTTGTTACCCCAGGGTTCAGCATAATATCTGGTACGTAAAAACTCAACAATAACTTAATAAGGAAAGTACTAGTAAACTAAAAAGTACCACGTGAAATAAGGTAAAACATTATACCGTTATGAAACAGTTTAAAATACTGATAATAGGATAAATCTGACTTACCACGTTTGAAGCACTGTGTTAGGTACTTGAAACATTATTATCCCCATTTTCAAATGAGGAGACTGGCTCAGTGACGTTAGGTACCTTGCCTACATCACCTAATTTATAAGCTTGAAAGCTTGGATTAGAATTCAGGTCTGCTACACTAGAAAATTTTGTGTTCTGAAACACTTGACAGTAAATCTCATGTGCTTTCCTTTTAGCTGATACGGGAGAGACATCCTGAAAGGAGGCGGCTCACTGTAAAAGCAGGGAAAAAAGGAGGTGGGGAAGCACCAACAAATCCTTCTATTCCATGTCATGAACATTTGCAAAAACCTAGGGGAAAGTCTTATAGAAAAAGAGTAAAAAGTTTGTATTACCTTTTCGTTACTCATCTATAGGATAAATGCTCAATGCATTTTTCAAATTATTTTTAGCTTTTTATTCCAATCTTGACTTTTTAAAAGTATGACAAATAAAACTAGATAGAAATAAGGCATGAAGTAAAATATCGCCAAGTTATGAATTCCTAGTCTTGTAACATCGCGTCGCTTTTCATACAACCCAGTAACAGGCAGGCTTTGTCCACAGCAGCGCTGCATTCCTGATCGGCGTTCAGCTGTGGTCAATCACGTAGGTATTGCTCCAGGACATTTTCTCCTCCATGCATCCATTTATGTATCTATCTGTCTATCAATCATCTATCTATCTGTCTATTTGTTTTTTGAGACGGAGTTTTGCTCTTATTACCGAGGCTGGAGTGCAATGGTGCAATCTCGGCTCACTGCAACCTCCGCCTCCTGGGTTCAGGCAATTCTCTTGCCTCAGCCTCCCGAGTAGCTGGGATTACAGGCATGCGCCACCACGCCCAGCTAATTTTTTTTGTATTTTTAGTAGAGACGGGGTTTCATCATGTTGACCAGGATGGTCTCGATCTCTTGACCTCGTGATCCACCCGCCTCGGCCTCCCAAAGTGCTGGGATTACAGGCTTGAGCCACTGCGCCCGGCCCTATATTTATTTTTAGTTGCTCTTCAAGCTCTATTTTTATTGCTTGGGTTTCTCCTCAAGTGAACCTGTTTATACTTGCCCTACTTTTTATCCTCCTCCTCATGATCATTATATGGATTTTATTTTCCAGAGAATGAGTAGATTATCTAATTTAAATTCATTGGAATTTGTCTCTGTCATTCTAAACAACTTTGTATGTTGTATTCACAACTGCTGACAAATTCCACCTTTTTAATTTAACTTTGAATTTGGTTTACACACCTAAGATAAAAATGTGTCATGAATAATTTACCAAATTTTTGTAGAAAATTCTTATAGGAATTAATAGGATGATTGAAGTAAAACAAAGATTCTTTCAATCTCTTTTCTCTCCTTTATCTCATAGTCACTCTAATTTTGGAGAAAATGAAGCTCATATGGGGGAAAAATAGGGAGTTCTGACAGAAATGCTATCTTGGCAATGTTGCTAACTACTGCTATCACTTTTTAAGTTTTTTCCTTAAATACTTTGGTGCATTTGATTTTTATTTTATAAGGAGAATGACAATACCTGAAAAATTCTATACATTATTTTCCAATGAGAAAGCTTGCAGTAAGCAATACATGAAATCATTTTGGTGCTCATTAGATAGAGAATCAGAATGTTAAAGTTTATTCGCATGTAGTTATACATGCATTCTCAAACTTTATTGAGAAAAGGTTAGGTGCTTCATTTACAACTAGGTCCTATTTTAAAGACATATATACCCCAAGTTCTACTGTTGAAAGCTCTTTCAATAAATACAGGTTTTGAAAGGAAAGAAAGTTAAGTAAGACTCTGCCAAGATTCTTCTCCTCACCCAACATCAGCTGCATACTGACCTCGTCTGCTATAAAGCCACACATCTATTAACACCTTAATTCTGTCACTTTCCGTGTCTAACTATGAGAAGTCATTTAAGCTGTGTGAGCACATTCCTCATTTAAAAGTGGGAATAATAATGTCTGCCTTGTACGGCTGCTCTGAGGTAAAGTATATTTTCACCTACACGGCTGAAAATAAGAGGAATGTAACACATGGTAGTTGCATTCCTCTTTATCATCATTAAAGGCTTTCTTTTTTAATTACCAGGCTATAAATGCTCTAGAAATTAATACTATGTTATTCTTTCTATAACAAAATCAAGGTTTTCAAATGTCTTGTACATCTTAAACATGATACAGGATAAAATATTTTCACTGCAAATTTGTTCAAATGCAGGTGAGACTAGAAAGCAAACAAAAAATACACAGGCCAAGAATGCCTTCTCGAAAAGATAAAATCTAAGAGTGAACTGATACGTATTACCTGTGGAATCCAGCCCATAAAACAAGGGAGCACTGATGTCACGCTAGGAGAATCGTGCTGATTTTCAGAAAGTCGATTTCCATCAAAACTGCATCCTTCCAGTAACAAGCCACTGATCTGCCAGGGAAACAAGTCATGAAAATATGCATTAAAGTCTCAAATGTCAGAGGTTACTCTATTCTACCTTAAGACCAACACTTTCCATTGTGTTTACTGTTTGCAAATGTACAAAAACCAAGATTATGGCATTTTATTTGAGAACAAAGTCAGTGAGGCCTAGACTAGTGTTCACTATCAACTCCTTGTAGACCGAATTCTCATTCATAGCAAATATATTTTTACAACTACTTATATGTATGTCATCAGTTATACCACTGCAGATGTCTCGACATTAGTGTAATAGAATGACAGTGACAGAAGCCAGAATGTTACTCTTCCTCCAGGAGGGAAGGAAGAAAAGCGTAATTAGAGAGCAAACATTGTATTCCCAACTTTAAAGGTGGAATCTGACACCTTTAAAGGAATAGAACAAAGTTCAGAAAGTGTAATGAAAAAGACTGACATGCATTACAGATATGAAAGAAGAATTAACAAGGGGAAATACTTCGTGTCTTTAAGGTAACACTGTTACCTTAACATTTACATTTCTTACATTTACACTGTCAGAAATTCTGAAAATGAAAATGCAGTTCTTTTGGTATTATTGCCTTCATATTTCTTCTTCAAAACTTTCTTCTTTTAGTTTCTGAAGTTAATCTAGCCTGACTATCTAAAGGCGGCAAATGTAGAGTCAGTATTTGGCATTTGTAGCTTTTCTAGCACTTTGCCTTCAGAGCCACATCTCTATTATCATAATTTAAACTTGCAAAATGTAAACAATCTTAGTGCCTTCAAATTTTAACATACGACATGAAAGAATTATTGAATTTAGAATGAAAGGAGCGCTTTAAGTTGGAAGAGTTAAGATAATTGTCAGCGACATTATAGTTAGGAATGGTTTAGGTGCTAGACAGTATCCTTTAATGAACAGTTTTGAATAATGATTTCGTTACTTGAATTTTATACTAAGGTTGCTGTTGCATGAAAAGATAAGTAATTTTGTTGTTAGTGACAGAGCTGGGATAATAATATATTTATTTAGTGCTTAAATACTCTTTCTACTATACTGCTAATGTGATATACAGGTCCCTTTAAGAATTTCAAAAACATTCTGGCCTGAGTTTAGTTTTATATGTATCTATAAACAATACATAGTATTGTTTTTCATGTTTCCAATCTCTATGTAAAGGGGAACATGCAGCCTACTCTTTTCCCTCATTGTTGTTTTAAGGTATATCCATTTTGATCTTTCATTTCCAACAGCTGCACAATATTTCATTTTATTAATATACAATAATGTATCCATTTTCTGCTGGTGAATATTTATTTCCAACTGTTTAAAAAAACACTGCAATAACCATGCTACGTACTTCCTTATACACATTTGCATGAATTTCTCTAGATAGATTAAATTACGAGGTTGAAGAGTGTGGTCATTCTCAATTTTACCTAATATTGGCAAATTACTCCCCAAAGTAACTATCAATCTATCCTCTTACTTGTCATATATAAAAATTGACTTTATGCCACAATCTTGCTAATACTTGGTCTGTTGAGACTTAAAATTTTTGCAAATCTGATGAGCATGAAATGGAATAAATTTTGGTCTTCATTTCATTTCCTTAGTTACAGGTAAGAACAAGTACTTTTCCTTATGTTTAGCCATTCAGGTTTCTTCTTCATGTAAAGTGGCTGTTAAAATCCTTTGTCCACCTCTGCCTTTTCCTTACTATGGAAATTTTCTTTAAAAGATTCATCTGTAAACATCCTTTATCTGTTTTAAGTACTAATCCTTATCAGTTATACAAGAAACAAATATCTTTCCCAGTCTGTGGCCTGTGTTTTTACTTTTTTTGGTTTCTTTTTAATGTCAAGGTAGCAAACTTAACAGCTTCTTCCTTTAAGACTTTCATTTCTTTTGTGTCTAAAGAAATCCTGAGTATTTTCCTGTATTTTGTTTCTAAAAGTCTTCTCTTTCAGTTTTATTTCTGTAACTTTTTAAACCTTCCTTTTTTAAAATAACATTTGATCCATACTTTATGTTATCATTTTCTAACTGAATGAGCAATTGTTTCAGGATTATTTATCCAATAGTCCTTCCAAGCCCCTAATTTGTAACTAACACCACATTTGTCCTGTGTCAAGTGTCCATACTGCTATAAGTCTGTTTCTGGACTTTGTGTTAACATTAGTCTGTCATTCCCTAAACCAATACCGTAACGTCTCAACTGCCACCACTTAATAATGATAACAGTCATAATATTGTGACACAGTGCAAAATATGGCCCCAAATTCCTCCCCTCCTAATATGCACCCCTTCGCCAAGTAAGCTTTGCTGCTTCCTCCATCAGGAGGTGGAGTTTCTTTACTACCTCTTGAATTTGGGTTGGCCTTTTAAATTGCTTTGACCAATAGAATGTGATAGAAAGACTTTAAGTAACTTCTGAAGCTAGTCTTTTTTTTTTTGAGACGGAGTTTCGCTCTCCTTACCCAGGCTGGAGTGCAATGGTGCGATCTCGGCTCACCGCAACCTCCGCCTCCTGGGTTCAGGCGATTCTCCCGCCTCAGCCTCCTGAGCAGCTGGGATTACAGACACGCACCACCATGCCCAGCTAATTTTTTGTATTTTTAGTAGAGACGGGGTTTCACCATGTTGACCAAGATGGTCTCGATCTGTTGACCTCGTGATCCACCCGCCTCGGCCTCCCAAAGTGCTGGGATTACAGGCTTGAGCCACCGCGCCCGGCTGAAGCTAGTCTTTAAAAGACTCTGCCTTCTTGAAATGCTGGACCATAACCACTGTTAGGACCGGCCCTCCCTTCCCCCTACCCCAAGGACAGTGGAAAAGTACTGCCGTTCATGTTCAGCTAGCTTGCAAGACCCCATCCCCCTCCTTCCCTTATCGCGGCAGGCCCCGAAACCCTCCTTTGTTACGAGATGGCCGATAAGCCGCAAGAAACTCCGCCTGAGAAAGCACGTCCCCTCTCTTGCTCAACGGCAGTGGAAAATGACTGCAGCCTCCTCTGCCACAGTGTAAAAAGCCTGTGTCCCATTGTCTGCGCGGCCGATCTACTCTCCACCCCGGTGTTCGGTCCGCCCGGGGCCCCCCCAATAAAGCCTGAAGGCCTAACTCGCCTGGTCTACTCATTCGGACCAGGAGCAGTGAGGGGTGGTCGGACTTACCGGACAAGTGGTGCTGAAACCTGGGACAGGGTCGGTTGACCCGCCCGGGGCCTCTGAGGCCGGGCGACGGTTCCACCCCCCCCATCGGGTCGCCATCGCAAGACTCCAGACAAGGTAAGACTTTTACTTACCTTCTACCCCTTCTTCTTATACAAGGCTAAGGCAACCAGCTTCCCGGCGCCAGTCCACACGGACTCCTCGCCCTAGACCCGGCCGAGCCGAGGCGGTCCTCCATCCGACTCCCGGAGTCTTCCGAAGAAGGGGGTAGCCAGACGGGGACGCCTCTCTGACTGCTCACTTCACTAACCTAACCCTAAAGGGAACGCAACGAGAAGGGATGCCTCTTCCCTCCCTGGCCCCGGCTAGCTTTGCAAGCCATGGGGCACTCGGAGTCTAAAATAGACCCTAACACCCCCTTGGGGTGCCTGCTCCGAAATTTCTCAAAATTAGGCTATTCTCAGACCCTGCGGAGAGAGAAATTAACATTTCTCTCTCAAGTCGCATGGCCCCAATATAATCTTGACAACCAGTCTCATTGGCCACCGACTGATACTTTCAATTTCAATGTATTAAGGGACCTTGATAATTTTTGCCGCCGCACTGGGAAAAACTCTGAGATCCCTTATGTCCAGGCTTTTTGGGATCTCCGTTCCCATCCCGATCTCTGCTCCTCCTGCTCCACCCACCAGATCCTTTTAGCCCGAACCCCCCAAAACGTTTCCACCGCAACCGCTGGCCCACCACCTTATACCCCTCCGGACCAACTCCCCAAACACCTTTCTCCACCCGCTAATCCTGGCAGTCCCCCTCTACCTTCCTCCCCAGACACCCCCAAACCCTCTGCCCCAGAAACACCTCCCCCCATGACTTCCCCATATCTGCCCACACCCAATCTCATAACTCATCAGTAATAGCACCCCTCAGGGAAGTTGCAGGGACCGAAGGTTTAGTAAGGTCCATGTCCCCTTTTCACTCCAAGACCTGTCCAAAATCGAGAAACGTTTAGGATCCTTCTCAGCCGACCCGTCCACCTATATTAAAGAATTTCAGTATCTCACCCAGGCATACAGCCTCACATGGCACGACATTCGGGTAGTTTGCACCTCCACCCTCACAGCTGAAGAACACCAGCGCATTCTCGCTGCTGCTCGGCATTAGGCAGATAAAGACCACACTATAGATAACCAGGTCCCCCTTGGAGCTGAAGCTATTCCTAACGAGGATCCCCAATGGGATTATCATCAGGCAGGCAGAGGGTCCGACATACCCCGCAGAGACCGCATGCTCTGATACCTCCTCAAAGGCATGGATGTAGTGTCCAACAAAGTAGTAAACTATGACAAACTAAGAGAAATCACCCAATTACCAGATGAAAACCCTGCCCTCTTTCTAACTCGCTTGCAAGAAGCGTTAGTCTGCTACACCCGCCTTGACCCAGCCTCACAAAACGGATCCACCGTCCTAGCATCACACTTCATCTCCCAGTCAGCCCCTGACATTCAGAAAAAACTAAAAAAAGCAGAAGACAGCCCTGAAACCCCTATTCAGGACTTGGTAAAATGGCTTTTAAAGTCTTTAACACCAGGGAAGATGCAGCCGAGGCAGCCCGCCAAGCACGTATGAAACAAAAGGTCACTCTACAGACCCAAGCCCTGGTAGCAGCCCTTCGGCCGGCAGAAAATAACAAGGGTAAAGCAAATACCCTCACCCCTCCTGGGGTGTGTTTCAAATGTGGAAAGGAAGGGCACTGGTCAGAAGCCTGCCCCCAGTCACGGCCTCCTACCAAGCCCTGCCCTATTTCTCAGCTCATTGGACACTGGAAGTCAGATTGCCCTAACTCACCTCAGGCCTCAGTTCTTCAAAACTCTGGCACGAGGGGGCAGCAGGGTAACATCCCTCGGAGCCAGGCATTCAGGAATCTCCAATCCCAAAGCTGTTAGGGTTCATGGATGATTAACGGGGCCCTGGCTCCTCAACCTCAGTTACCCTTGCCGAGCCCAAGGTCATGCTCCAGGTAGCGGGTAAGAGTGTCTCCTTTTTACTGGACATGGGGGCTACCTACCTACTCCGTTCTTCCCTCCTTTTCAGGCAAAACCACCCCTTCCCAGGTCTGTTATAGGAGTTGACGGGTCCCCCTCCACCCCTCAAAAAACTCCCCACTAAACTGTCTATTTAGCTCTAATTTATTTACCCACTCCTTAGTTATTCCCTCATGCCCTGTACCCCTCTTAGGGAGAGATATCCTAACGAAGCTCCAAGCCACCATTATTTTCCCATGTAATGAAGCCTTCCTCATGCCCCCCATTACAGATCCGCCACCCTCTACCCCATCTCAAAACTCCTTCCCAACGTAAAACCTGAAGTATGGGACACTGAAACCCCTACTATAGCCTCACATCACCACCCCATCGTCATATGCCTAAAAGACCCCACAGCCTTCCCTTCTCCCCCTCAGTTTCCTACTCCAAAATTCACTGCCTCGGCCTCCTCCCTATCATAAATAAGCTAAGGGCTCAAGGACTACTCATTCCTGCAAACTCCCCCTGCAACACTCCCATTCTGCCTGTAAAATAACCCTCAGGTGAGTACCGCCTGGTCCAAGACCTCGGCCTTATCAATGCAGCAGTCATCCCCGTTCATCCAGTAGTTCCCAACCCCTACACAATCCTTTCCCACATTCCCCCTACAACCACCCACTTCTCAGTTCTAGACCTCAAAGATGCCTTCTTCACCATTCCCCTGCACCCAGATTCCTACTTCCTTTTTGCTTTTACCTGGGAAGACCCCACTTCCAATCTTTCTCAGCAGCTCACCTGGACAGTCCTACCCCAAGGCTTCCGGGATAGCCCCCACCTATTTGGACAAGCCCTAGCAGCCGACCTTCAAACTTGCAAAATCACCCCCTCCACCCTACTGCAATATGTTGATGACATCCTCATTTGTTCTCCATCCTACCATGACTGCATTACAGCCACCACCACACTGTTAAACTTCCTGGGAAGCAAGGGGTACCGGATATCCGCTACTAAAGCTCAAATAGCTACCTCCTCAGTTACCTACTTAGGCCTCAATCTTACCCCCAAACACCGGGCTATAACTGCTGATAGGCTCCAAACTCTCAAAGCCCTCCAGCCACCTACATCAGCAGACGAGACCCTCTCCTTCATGGGTCTAGTAGGGTTCTTCAGGCATTGGGTCCCTAACTTCGCAGTGCTAGCAAGACCGCTGTACCACGTGGCAAAACAGTCCCCTGTAGGACCACTTACCTCCCAAGGCACTGTGACTCAGGCCTTCTCTGCTCTTCTGACAGCCCTCTACTGCCACAAACCTAGCCTTACCCAACCCCAATAAGCCGTTCCACCTGTATACAGATGAAAAGCAGCACGTAGCCATTGGAGTTCTTACCCAGCCTGTGGGGCCCACCTCAGTACCTGTAGCATACCTATCCAAACAGCTAGACCCTACCACCCGGGGGTGGCAACCTTGCCTGCGAGCCCTTGCTGCAGCAGCAGAACTCACCACCGAGGCCTTAAAACTCAACCTACACCAACCACTACAGGTCTTCTCACCCCATCGGCTCACCAATCTGCTCTCCCATCAGGTTTTAGCCCACCTTGGACCCTCCAGGATCCAAGTGCTTCACCTGCTCTTCATCGAGAATCCCACCATTACACTCTCACATTGTTCCCCCCTTAACCCAGCGACCTTATCTCCCACCCTTCCAACTCCAATGAGCCAGCACTCTTGCCTAGAAATCCTTGAACTAAGCCAATCCCCATGACCTGACCTTACTGACCAACCCTAACCGTCAGCCTCAGTTACCCTTTACGTTGACGGCAGTTCTATTCTTAAGACCCCTGGACCCAGGAAAGCCGCTTATGCAATTGTCTCTGACACTGATATTATAGAGACCCGACCCTTACCTCAAGGAACTACTTCTCAACAGGCTGAATTAGTTGCCCTCACCCGAGCACTCACCTGGGCAACTGGGGAAAAAGTTAATATCTACACTGATTCTAAGTATGCCTTTCTCATTGCCCACTCTCACTGCATGATTTGGAAAGAACGAGGCTTCCTCACCACTAAAGGAACCCCCGTCCTCAATGGAAAGCTCATCTCTCAGCTTATCCAGGCCATCCAGCTACCGGCCCAAGTAGCTATAATCCATTGTAAAGGACATCAGTCCGCAAATACTCCTGTAGCTCGGGGCAACGCCTTCGCAGACTCAGTAGCCAGAACCACGGCTCAGAAAGCCTCACCCGCCACCACCATCTATTTCCTTTCTAAGGCCTACGCCCCCCAGTATTCTCCCACCAAAAAATCTGAACTTTTATCCTCCCCTCATATCCAGTTCAGGGACGGATGGGCCTTCAAACACAACCTCCTAATTCTGCCCAAAGACCAACAACGCCAGATCATCGCAGACGTTCACAACTCACTACACATTGGCCCAAAAGCCCTATTCCAATTCCTCAATACCCTCTTTCACCTCACAATCTCCTACACACCATACAAGAAGTTCACTCTGCCTCCACCATTTGTTCAAAGACCAACAACCAAGGGACCTGCCACCCACGCTGCCAGCTCCACCAACTACGCGGCAACCTACCGGGCCAAGAGTGGCAAATCAACTTCACACACATGCCCAAACACAAGCATTTTAGATACCTATTAACCTTAGTTGACACCTTTTCAGGCTGGATTGAAGCTTTCCCCACAGCCTCTGAGTCTGCAGGGACAGTAGCCGAACATCTCATCCGGGACATCATTCCACGCTTCGGCCTCCCTGTCACCATCCAATCAGACAACGGACCCGCTTTCATTTCAAAAATCACATCTGCCGTCTCTGAATCCCTGGGAATCCAGCTACACGCTGCCTACCACCCCCAGTCCTCGGGTAAGGTTGAACGGGCCAACGGCCTCATCAAAGAACATCTAACAAAACTCACATTAGAACTTCACCAGTCCTGGATCACCCTGCTTCCCATCGCCCTCACCTGACTTAGGGCAAGCCCCCGAGGCCCTTCACAGCTAAGCCCCTTTGAGTTGCTGTACGGCCGGCCCTTTCTCCTCTCATCCCCTCCACCTCCTAACCCCCCTCCTCTATCAGACTATCTACCCTATTTCACCCTCCTCCGGGGGCTCCTCAGGGAACGTGCTAACGCTTCTTTACCCCAACCTAGCCCGCCACTGGTTCTATACAGAAAGTCTCCCCAGGAGAGCCAATCTTTATAAGATCACTCTCCCCAAAGCCACTGACTCCTAAGTGGGAAGGACCATACACAGTCATCCTTACCACCCCCTCAGCAGTAAAAGTCGCCGGAATTCCATCGTGGGTACACTTATCCTGAGTAAAAAGGGTTCCCCATGGATCTCTGCCGCCCACTTGGAAAACTACTCCTATTGGCCCCCTATCTCTTAAATTTACTAAAATTCAATAGTCCCTCCAACCCCTCTCAACCTTACGTCTGGAGGTTTTACCTAACTGAAAACTACACCAAAACCACCCACATTTGCAACACCCCTCCTTATAGCTCCAACCACCTCCTTACCACTACTGACTGCCCCCGGTCAGGATGCAGCACTGCCATTTATCTAAACTTCACAAAATTTAAAAACAAATAACCGCAACCCCACCTTATGCTTCATTTATGATCAAATGGGGTCCTGCAAGACCTCCTCCTGGCTCAGTTGCACGGCATGCACCTGGGGAACTTGCTCTCTTCACTCTGCTACCCGCGTCACTTCAGACCCCTCACGTTTAAAAATGATAACTGACACTGACAACCACCAGAACACCTTCTCCCTTGCTATCCCTGATCCATGGGACAACTGCTGGACATCACCACAAAAAGCAGCAATATATGAAACCTCGACCACTTCCTACCCATCCTCCCATATATATATATATGGAGAGCGCTCACACGCACAGTCCATGAAGTCCATACCTCAATTCAACAAGAAAAGACCCTAACCCGACAACTACAACCATCCTCCACCCCTTTCTCATGGCTCACCCTCCTTAACGAAGGCCTGAAAATAGCCAATCTCTTGGGCCTATCGAACCTCACCTCCTGCCTCATGTGTGCCTCCCTTGGAAAAACTCCCCTAATTGCCGTCCCATACACCTATCCTATCAACTCCTCCACACCGCCCACCCAAACTGCCCCTATCACAGAAGTAGAACTATACGTTCCCCCAGACTTCACACAGCTACCAATATGCTACAGTCACAACCCTAATCACACTGGATGTAACCGAACCATCACCATCGGCTCTAATCTCACAGCCCCTAACGGAACCTTTTTTTGGTGCAACAAAACACTCTTCAAAACCCTCCACTCTTCAATGCCAACATCTTACCTGTGCCTCCCTGTCACCCTAGTACCCAGATTAACTATCTACTCCCCCGCAGAATTCCAGCAACAATTTACACACCGTCGCACGAGACGAGCTGCCTTCTTACCCCTAGCAGTGGGTCTCTCCCTCGCTGGCTCAGCTCTAGCTGCTGGGCTCGGAGGAGGAGCCCTGGCTCACTCTCACCAAGCCCTAGCACGACTAACTTCTCAGTTCCAAGCAGCTATCGACAACTCTGCCGAATCCCTAGCCTCCCTTCAGCGCCAGATAACCTCAGTTGCCCAAGTTGCCCTACAGAACCGATGGGCCCTTGATCTCCTAACTGCTGAACGAGGAGGAACCTGTATCTTCCTGCAAGAAGAGTGCTGCTACTACGTCAATGAATCCGGCCTAGTGGAAACCCGAATTGAAAATCTTCAAAAAATCAGTATAGATCTCCAGAAGCAGAAATTTTCAACCGAGGCTACTGCTTGGTGGTCCTCCTCAATGTACACCCTCTTAACCCCCTTACTAGGCCCCCTTATTGCTATTGGACTAGTTTTACTAATTGCTCCTTGTTTTCTACAGTTCCTACAGCGACGCTTCCAAGAGTTAACCTGCATCACCGTCAATCAGACGTTATTGCAGCCCCTCATTCCTGAAGAAACCTCTCCGGACGAAACCTAACTCCTCACCCAAATCCCCACTGCTGCCCCATGTCAGCAGGAAGCAGACAGAAAGAATACAGCGCCCTATTTCCTATTACAAGGAGTTAGGAATGTCCGGTTGGGTTCCCATGTCCTCCCCCTTTTTTCCTTCTCTCCCCTCCCCACCTGTAACAGGAACGGCCTTAAAGCCCCTCCTGTCTCAGAATCTACCTGAAGCAGAAAAAAAAAACTGTGAAAACTCCGCCCTGGAGAATACCTGTGTCCCTTCCCCCTTCCTCTTGCCCAACTGCAGTGGAAAAGTACTGGCTTCACCCCTTCCCCCTTCCTCTTACCCAACTGCAGTGGAAAAGTACTGGCTCCTGCTATATAAGCCACCCAGCCCACCTCCTAGGCGCGGCTACCCACTTCGGTTTACACGGTAGTGCTTAGTCCGCCCAGAGCTCCTAATAAAGCTTGGACGTCCAATTGGCTCTACTTTTTTTCCACCATCCGGCGCAGCAGGCCTAAAACTACAGCCAGACAATAACCAGTAATAAAATGGCAGGATCAAATTCACACATAACAATATTAACAATAAATGTGAATAGACTAAATACCCCAATCAAAAGAGACAGACTGGCAAATTGGACAAAAAGCCAGAACCACTGGTGTGTTGTATGCAGGAGAGTCATCTCATGTGCAAAGATGATACACAGACTCAAAATAAAGGGACGGAAGAAGAATTACCAAGCAAATGGAGAGCAAAAAAAAGCAGAGGTGGCAATCCTAGTCTCTGATAAAATGGACTTTAAACCAACAAAGATCGAAAGAAACAAAGAAGGGCATTATATAATGGTAAAAGGACCAATACAACAAGAAGAGCTAACAATCCTAAATATATACACACCCAATACAGGAGCACCTAGATACATAATGCAAGTCCTTAATGACCTACAAAGAGCCTTAGACTCCCACACAATAATAGTGGGAGACCTCAACACTCCACTGTCAATATTAGATCAACAAGACAAAAAATCAACAAGGAAATCCAGGACTTGAATGCAGATCTAAACCAAGCAAACTTAATAGACAGCTACAGAACTCTCCACCCCAAATCCACAAAATATACATTCTTCTCAGCCCCACATCACATTTACTCTAAAATCGACCACATAATTGGAAGTAAATCACTCCTTAGCAAATGCAAAAGAACAGAAATCAAAACAGTCTCTCAGACCACAGTGCAATCAAATTAGAACTCAAGATTAAGAAACAAACTCAAAACCGCACAACTTCATGGAAAATGAACAACTGGCTCCTGAATGTAGACTGGATAAAGAAAGAAATGAAGGCAGAAATAAAGATATTCTTTGAAACCAACGAGAACGAAGATGCAACATACCAGAATCTCTGGGACATAATTAAAGCAGTGTCTAGAGGGCAACTCATAGCAATAAATGCCCACATGAGGAGCAAGGAAAGGTCTAAAATTGACACCGTACCATCAAAATTGAAAGAGCTAGAGGAGCAAGATCAAAAAAAAAAAAACTCAAAAGAACACAAGAAATAACTAAGATCAGAGCAAAACTGAAGGAGATAGAGACACACACAAAAAAACCTTCAAAATGAACAAATCCAGGAGCTGGTTTTTTGAAAAGATTAACAAAATGACCACTAGTCTGACTAATAAAAAAAGAAAAGGGAGAAGAATCAAATAGATGAAACAAAAAACAATAAAAGGGACGTCACCACCAATTCCACAGAAATACAAACTACCATCAGAGATTACTACAAACAACTCTATACACACAAACTAGTAAACCTGGAAGAAATGGATAAATTCCTGGACACCGGCATCCTCCCAAGACTAGGAAGAAGTTGAACCCCTGAATAGATCAATAACAAGGTCTGAAGTCGAGGCAGCAATTAATAGCCTACCAGCTGAAAAAAAAAAAAGCCCAGATCCAAATGGATTCACCGCTGAATTCTACCAGACATACAAAGAGGAGTTGCTACCATTCATTCATAATGAAACTATTCCAAACAACAAAAAAAGAGGGAACCCTCCCCAACTCATTTTATGAGACCAGCATCGTCCTAATACCAAAACTGGGCAGAGATGCAACTAAAAAAGAAAACTTCAGGCCAATTTCCACAATGAACATTGACGCAAAAATCTTCAATAAAATACTGGCAAACAGATTGCAACAGCAAATCAAAATGCTTATCCATCATGATCAAGTAGGCTTCATCCTGGGGATGCAAGGCTGGTTCCACATACACAAGTCTATAAATGTAATCCACCACATAAACAGAACCAAAAACAAAAACCACATGATTATCTCAATAGATGCAGAAAGACCTTTGACAAAATTCAATAGCCCTTTATGCTAAAAAACCCTCAATAAACTAGGTATTGGAGGAACATATCTCAAAATAATAAAAGCTATTTACAACAAACCCACAGCCAATATCATACTGAATGGGCAAAAACTTGAGGCATTCCCTTTGGAATCTGGCATAACACAAGGATGCCCTCTCCCACCACTCCTATTCAATATAGTATTGGAAGTTCTAGCCAGAGAAATCAGGCAAGAAAAAGAAATAAAGGGTATTCAATTATGAAAAGAGGAAGCCAAATTGTCTCTACTTGCAGATGACATGATTGTATATTTAGAAGACCCCATTGTATCAGCCCAAAATCTCCTTAAACTGATAAGCAATTTCAGCAAAGTCTCAGAATACAAAATCAATGTTCAGAAATCACAAGCATTCCTATACACCAATAACAGACAAACAGAGCCAAATCAAGAACTAACTCCCATTTACAATTGCTACAAAGAGAATAAAATATGTAGGAATAAAACTAACAAAGGATGTAAAGGACATCTTCAAGGAGAACTACAAACCACTGCTCAATGAAATAAGAGAGGACACAAATAGATGACAAAACATCCCATGCTCACAGTTGGGAAGAATCAACATCTTGAAAATGGCCATACCGTCCAAAGTAATTTATAGATTCAACGCTGTCTCCATCAAGCTACCAATGACCTTCTTCACAGAACTGGAAAAATCTACTTCAAACTTCATATGGAACCAAAAGAGAGCTCACATAGCCAAAACAATCCTAAGCAAAAAGAACAAAGCTGGAGACATCATGCTGCCTGACTTCAAAAGCCTACAGTAATCAAAACATCATGGTACTGGTACCAAAACAGACATAGACCAATGGAACAGAACAGAAGCAACATCACACATCGACAATCATCTGATCTTTGACAAATCTAACAAAAACAAGCAATGGGGAAAGGATTCCCTGTTTAATAAATGGTGTTGGGAAAAGTGGCTAGCCATGTGCAGAAAGCAGAAACTGGACCCTCTCCTGACACCTTATATTAAAATTAACTCCAGATGGACTTAAGATCTAAACATAAGACCTAATACCATGAAAATCCTAGAAGAAAACCTAGGCAATGCCATTCAGGACAAAGGCATAGGCAAGAACTTCAAGACTAAAACTCCAAAAGTAATGGCAACAAAAACCAAAATAGACAAATGGGATCTAATTAAACTCCAGAGCTTCTGTACAGCAAAGGAAACAATCATTAGAGTGAACCAGCACCAGTAGAATGGGAAAAAATTTTTGCAAACTACATATCTGACAAAGGGCTAATATCCAGAATCTACAAAGAAATAAAACAGATTTACAAGAAACAAACAAACCCATTCGAAAGTGGGTGAAGGATATGAACAGACACTTTACAAAGGAAGACATCTATGAGGCCAAAAATCATATGAAAAAATGCTCATCATCACTGGTCATTAGAGAAATGCAAATCAAAACCACATTGAGATACCATCTCACCCCAGTTAGAATGGCGATCATTAAAAAATCTGGAGACAACAGATGCTAGAGAGGATGTGGAGAAATAGGAACACTTTTACACTGTTGGTGGGAGTGTAAATTAGTTCAATCATTGTGGAAGACAGTGTGGTGATTCCTCAAGGATCTAGAAATAGAAATTCCATTTGACCCAGCAATCCCATTAGTGGGTATATATTCAAAGGATTATAAATTGTTCTATTATAAAGACACATGTTTACATATGTTCATAGCGGCACTGTTTACAATAGCAAAGACCTGAAACCAACCCAAATGTCCATCAGCGATAGACTGGATAAAGAAAATGTGGCACATAAACACCATGAAATACTATGCAGCCATAAAAAATGATGAGTTCATGTCCTTTGTAGGGACATGGATGAATTTGGAAATCATCATTCTCAGCAAAGTGACACAAGAACAGAAAATCAAACACCGTATGTTATCACTCAGAGGTGGGTGTTGAACAATTAGAACAGTGGACACAGGGATGGGAGCATCACACACTGTGGTCAGTATTGGCAGGCCTAGGGGTAGTATTTAACTTTCGTTCCTCTGTCTCTCATCTCTTAGACAAACAGCAGTGGTGGGGAGGGAGGGGAGGGATAATGAGGGCAGAAATACCAGATATAGGTGATGGGGGATGAAGGCAGCAAAGCACCTTGCCATGTATGTACCTATGCAAAATACTGCATGATCTGCACATGTACCCCAGAACCTAAAGTACAATAAAAAAAAGGTATCACATATATGCCAAAGACCAGAGACAACCGCACATGGAAAAGAATAATAAATGCAATTTACTGAAACATTAGACATACAGGAAGCTCACAATACTACTTACAGAGAAAATGTCATTGGACACTGCTGGAAACTTATGTATCAAGAGCATCTTTTGAATATTCCCAGTTTAAATGAAAAAAAATAAGCGTTCTATATTTTCAACACAAAATGTATCTCATGGTATCCAGGTAACTACATAGACCTAATCGAAGCTTCTTTGCAGAAGAATCTTAGCTCAAAATGTGGAAAGAATAACAATTAGAAAAATCAGAATGCAACCACTAATCATCCAAGCAATGATCATCAATGGTTAAAACTATTAGATGAAAGACTGATGAGAAACTTTATATGAGGAATGAGGCTGTCACTGCCTGTACACATGAGTCAATGTTAGCATCACTAAAAACAGGAAAACAACGTGTGCGCCTCATCACACAATGTAAAATGAAGAACCCAGTGCCACCTATGAAGTGTTTCAGCTGCCCCCCACCCCACAAAAAATGCATGTAACTAGATCTTTGGAATGAATTCATAAGAAATGAGAGACAGAGGAACAAAAGTTACATACTACTTCAAAGAAGCAAACAGATGAGTACAGAACGTACATCATTCTATAGGAGAAATAACCTCACTCCTGTAACGAACAGTGGTATGAAATGAAAAAATGCAACCTGATCGAGATATAAAAAGACTTAAGCACATAACCAGTGTGAGCATCTCATTTCATTATTTTGACATTGAATCAAACAAACCGTTGGAAAGAGTTCTTTTAGAGACTGGTCAGTATACTGTTTTGGGCTGAATATTAAATGTTTCCAAGGAATTTTAATTTTATTTGTGATAATGTATTTAAGAAAATATATATTTTTAAAGAAACACATTCAGAACCATGGAGGGGCAAAATAAAATGATGTCTGAAATGTGTTTTACCAATAAAAGAGAGAAAAAAGGGGGAATGTTGCTGAATCTTAAAACCTTGGAATATGCTGACTCAGTTTACTACTCTCTTTTCTCCTGTATTTGTTTAAAATGTTCAATAATAGAAAATATTAACCATTACTGAAAAAATAACCTTGAAGAACAAAGGATGTTTAAACTTGCTGGGGAACTGACTGTTCCATGTAGAGTACAATATAGTACCCATATGTGCTCAGTAGCCATTGTGGTTACCGTATATACTATACCACATGTGGCTATGGCAATACTCTCTCAGCCTTGGAGG